GATGTACAAGCTGGAAGATGACTGGAGACCAAAATGCTCAAAGGTCTGGAAGCCAAGTCCTATGAGAAACGTCTAGAGAGCTAGATATGTTTGGCCTGGAGAGGAGAAGACAGAGAAGGGGACTTGAGAGCCATGCTTCAATATTTGAAAGGAGGTCCCATTGAGGAGAAAGCTTGGAGCCATGGGTTCAAATGGTAGGAAAAGAGGCTCCACCTGAATATAAGAAAGAATTCCTGAAGGTAAGAGCTGATGAACTGTGGAGTATGCTTCTTGGGTTTCTGGTGGAGCCACCTTCTCTAGGAGTTTCTACACAGAGGCAGGATGGTCGTCTGTCCCGAGAACTTTGAATGCAATATTCCAGCTTCTTATAGAATCATAGAATCAAAGAGTTGGAAGAGACCTCCTGGGCCATCCAGTCCAACCCCCTTCTGCCAAGAAGCAGGAATATTGCATTCAAATCATCCCTGACAGATGGCCATCCAGCCTCTGTTTAAAAGCTTCCAAAGAAGGAGCCTCCACCATACTCCGGGGCAGAGAGTTCCACTGCTGAACGGCTCTCACAGTCAGGAAGTTCTTCCTCATGTTCAGATGGAATCTCCTTTCTTGTAGTTTGAAGCCGTTGATTCGTGTCCTAATCTCCAGGGCAGCAGAAAGGAAGCTTGCTCCCTCCTCCCTGTGGCTTCCTTTCACATATTTATACATGGCCCTCGTCATATCTCCTCTCAGCCTTCTCTTCTTCAGGCTAAACATGCCCAACTCCTTAAGCCGCTCCTCATAGGGCTTGTTCTCCAGACCTTTGATCATTTTAGTCGCCCTCTTCTGGACACATTCCAGCTTGTCAATATCTCTCTTGAATTGTGGTGCCCAGAATTGGACACAATATGCCAGGTGTGGTCTAACCAAAGCAGAATAGAGCATGGGGAGCATTACTTCCTTAGATCTAGACACTAGGCTCCTCTTGATGCAGGCCAAAATCCCATTGGCTTTTTTTCCCACCACATCACATTCCTGGCTCATGTTTAACTTGTTGTCCACGAGGACTCCAAGATCTTTTTCACACGTACTGCTCTCGAGCGAGACATCCCCCATTTTGTATCTTAGCAGAATGGGGTTGGACTGGATGGCCCATGAGGTCTCTTCCAACTCTTTGATTTCTATGATTCTATGACTTGGGCAGAATGGCCTTTGGGCTCTCTTTGAATATTAGGATCCTGGGATTTTGTTATTCCAAGCCGTGTTCCATCATTGTTTCCCAATGGAGAAGCCAAGAGTGCTGGGATGGGCAGTGGTGGCCCTCCTTGAAAAGAGGTCCCACATCCTTGCCTCCTCCTTCTGCCTTCCTCTTTAATGCCAAGGATTGGCTCCACAGCCTTTGCATTGCCAATAAGGAACGCCCCGACCGGGCCCTAAAGCAGCGTTTGCATCACGTTTTCCTTGCATAAAGAGCAATCGGGATTGGTCCCCTTGTGCCGACCGCTTAGTTTTATTGTCCTCATTAAAGCGCTTTGCTTGGATAACGAGCAAGATAATACATTTCGAGCGGTATAGGCAATAAAGAAGGAATAATAATGAAAAGTTGTTGGGTTTATTATTTTTCCTAAATTAAAACCAAAATATCTTGAGTTAAAATTAAAAAATGGAAAGCGCCCTTCGGGGGGTTCTTGGAGATTAATAAATGGGGATGGATGTGCTCTCGTCTGTGAATCCCTTGCAGGAACCGCAGATCTTGCTTAACATACACAGTTTCCCTTATTTGCACGAGGTTTCCCATTCAGTTCAATGGAGGAGAGAAACCCAGGCAGTTGCAGTGGATTTGGAGCAGGTTGGGGACAGAAAATAGCCTGGAAATCACCCCCGAAATAAAAATATAGCATAAAGAAAAGGTATCCACTTTGTGCCCCCCAAAAGGCAGTGTTTTTGTCCAAAAAATGTGGTTTTTTGTACAAAACAACTGCAGAACAAAATTTTTCCAAGTCCCTTAAAAAAAATATTATTATTGTGCAAAGAAATAAATGTCCTAAATATGAAATATCATTAAAATGCACAGAAACACCCCCATTCTCTGCCACAGGGGATTATGATGTGGGTGGCAGTTTTTGAAATCCATGGCATTTGAGAGCAAAACATGTGCGAAGATTTGCATCCCTGAAACCAATCTTGATTTCATTCCATATCTCATTCCACTTGGGGTGCATCTGCACTGTAGAACTGATGTAGTCCTGCCCCACTTTCCACTTTTATCACATGGAGACATTTCCCCCTCGTAGGAGACTTCGGCCTCTTTTCCAGCATGGAAAGGCATGGAGCTCATCACATGAGTTATAGAATCATAGAATCCTAGAATCAAAGAGTTGGAAGAGACCTCCTGGGCCATCCAGTCCAACCCCATTCTGCCAAGAAACAGGAATATTGCATTCAAAGCACCTCCGACAGATGGCCACCCAGCCTCTGTTTAAAAGCTTCCAAAGAAAGAGCCTCCACCACACTCCGGGGCAGAGAGTTCCACTGCTGAACGGCTCTCACAGTCAGGAAGTTCTTCCTCGTGTTCAGATGGAATCTCCTCTCTTGTAGTTTGAAGCCATTGTTCCGCGTCCTAGTCTCCAGGGAAGCAGAAAGGAAGCTTGCTCCCTCCTCCCTGTGACTTCCTCTCACATATTTATACATGGCTATCATGTGTCCTCTCAGCCTTCTCTTCTTCAGGCTAAAGATACCCTGCTCCTTAAGCCGCTCCTCATAGGGCTTGTTCTCCAGGCCCTTGATAAACTACTTCTGGCTGTCATGCATAGCCCTCCGTGGGATTCTTGGTTTCCAGACCTTTGACTATTTTGGTGTCCCTCTCTGGACCACTTCCACCTTGTTCATATCTTTCTTGAATTGCTTTGCCCAGAATTGAACAAAGGGTAATTATTAGGCATGGATAGACCTGCTTCGGATTACTTAAACATGAGCCAACAATGTGATGTGGCGGCAAAAAAAAGCCAATGGGATTTTGGCCTTCATCAGTAGGAGCCTAGTGTCAAGATCTAGGGAAGTCATGCTCCCCATGCTCTATTCTGCCTTGGTTAGACCACACCTGGAATATTGTGTCACAATTCAAGAGAGATATTGACAAGCTGGAATGTGTCCAGAGGAGGGTGACTAAAATGATCAAGCCCTATGAGGAGTGGCTTAAGGAGCTGGGCATGTTCATCCTGAAGAAGAGAAGGCTGAGAGGGGATATGATAGCCATGTATAAATATGTGAGAGGAAGCCACAGGGAGGAGGAGGGAGCAAGCTTGTTTTCTGCTTCCCTGGAGACTAGGACGCAATGGAACAATGGCTTCAAACTACAAGAGAGGAGATTCCATCTGAACATGAGGAAGAACTTCCTGACTGTGAGAGCCGTTCAGCAGTGGAACTCTCTGCCCCGGAGTGTGGTGGAGGCTCCTTCTTTGGAAGCTTTGAAACAGAGGCTGGATGGCCATCTGTCAGGGGTGATTTGAATGCAATATTCCTGCTTCTTGGCAGAATGGGGTTGGACTGGATGGCCCATGAGGTCTCTTCCAACTCTAGGATTCTATGATTCCACTTATTGCTCATAATAATTTCATTAAAATTACCTTTTTGAAGTGATTTTGAAGCATTTTTAAAAACCAGAAGTCTCTTTGACCTTCTGAAGCTATTTCCGCCATTTTTGTTACGACTCAGGAAGTGAGTCGGAAATGGTTCCGTGTATTTTCAGCCCTCTACTAGCCTGCTGGGAGGGAAGCAGCTTGCATAGCAGGAGGCTCCTTGACTCCCAGTCAATCAGGGGAGAGGTTTTGGGGGAGCACTTGGCTCAGAGGCTCATTTGGAGCCAGGAAGGGAAGGGTGAAGGGAGAAGGGAGAAGGGAAAGAGAATGGAGGTTGTGTTGAAGGGAGGTTGGAAGAAGAGCACGGTGGTTAAGCAGGGGATGGGAGAAGGGCTGTTGCCTGCCTGCCTGGCTGGGCAGCCTGCCTTGCCGCTTGTGTGTTGTTGCTGCTGTTGGGGTTTGGGATGGGTGGGCACCGCGAGGGTCGTGTGTGGGTGAGTGGCGTGGGTGGAAAGAGCAACATGGAAGTTCCAAAGCACTCCCTCCAACATTTTTAAAACCCAACGTTGTAGCAAGTATATCTGGCCTCAGTGTTTTTTAGTTTGTGTTGCACATTCCCTCAAAAGAACTAGTTCTCCCATCAATTCAAACCACTCTTTGAACACAAACTCTCCTTCCTAAAGTTGAGAAATCAGCTTCCAAGGCAAAAAGGGCAGAGCTATTTGTTATTTTCTTTGTTTGCTGTGATACTACAAATCCCATTCTTCAAGTCTCTCCTTACCTAACTTGTGAAATCAGCTTCCAAGGCAAAAAGGGCAGGGCTGTTTGTTATTTTCTATGTTTGCTGTGCGTTGCCTAAAAAGACACTACAAAAATCATACTTCAAGTCTCTCCTTACCTAATTTGTGACATCAGCTAACAAGACCCCAAAAGCTCTCAAGGCTGTTTGTTCGTTATTTTCTATGTTTGCTGTGCGTTGCCTAAAAAGATACTACAAATCCCATACTTTAAAGTCTTGTGTATTGTGCGTTGTGCAATCCACCATTAACGAAGCGATTCGAAAATTTCAGAATTTTTTGAAAGTTCCAAAAAAGATTTTTAAAATATTTGGAATTTGGAATCGAACCACCAGCATCTGAAATGAGTTTTGAACCATTTTTTAATCAACCAAGCCTAGTAATTATTCTAGGTGAGATATCTAACCAAAGCAGAAGAGAGTCGTACTCTTACTTCCCTTTATCTGTGCACTGTACTCCTCTTGATGCAGCCTAGAATGGCATTGACTTTTTACGCTGCTGCATCACACTGGTGCTCAGCTTGTGGTCCACTAAGACTCCTAGATCCCCTTCTCATGGTGTCCCCATGCTATGTCTGTGCATGTCATTGTTTTCCCTGCTCACACCATGCACCAAGATTTTACTGATGGCTTCCTCTCTGCTTCCCTCGCAGCCCCTCCTACGGTGCGCATCATTCACTCGGGCCTGGCCTGCAACATTGAGGAGGAGCGGTATTCCGAGCGTGTCTACACCATTCGTGAAGGAGAGACGCTGGAGCTCACCTGCCTGGTGACGGGACACCCTCGGCCACAGGTGAGCATGCTACTGTGATGTGTCATGTGGGTCACTACTGTTACAGTAAATTGTAGCACGACCAAATGTGTTTGTGTGTTGAAGAAAAACCTTATGATGATAATTATTATGTGCAGCTGGTAATGTAGGTCAACCAGCAATCGTGGACCAAACTCGATAGGGTATAACTGTATGGGTTTTTAGAATACAGTTCTGGAGAGCTTTTTCTCTGAGGAGATCTAGGCTCAAAGGCACTACTCTGAGGAACAGGTTGGAGAGAAGCCATTATGCTGCTCTAAAGGAGACTGTGGTGGAATCGCTGTTTGCTCAAGGTTTATGTCATGCTTTCTCATTTGACTTAAGATGAAGATGCCTTATTTTGTGTTACTTACAAAGACTATGTAAGTTTCTTGCATTGTTTGTTTTTTGTATGCAACATTGCAAGTTTTATTTTCTTATTTTCTGTTGTGTTCTTACTGTATTGCTGGGCATAGCCTCATACAAGCTGCCCTGAGTCCCCTTGGGGAGATGGTGGCAGGGTATAAAGTTTTTATTATTATTATTATTTGAAATACAACAAGATGGTTCCACGGCAGATACTCTGCTGGCTGTTGAATAGGATCACACGTTGGAGACTTCCCAAGTGTCTCGGACTATGTGATGTATCAGCAAATAATGTGTGCAGATCCCAGTAAAGTGGCCTTTTGCAGCTGGCAGATGGTAATTTTGTCAGCGCCAATTGTGTTTAAGTGCAGGCCAAGGTCTTTAGGCACTGTACCCAGTGTACCGATCACCACTGGGACCATCTTGACTGGCTTGTGCCAGAGTCTTTGCAGTTCGATCCTTAAATCCTCATATCATGTCAGCTTTTCCAGTTGTTTCTCTGCAGTCCTGCTGTCACCTGGGATTGCAACATCAACGATTTATTATTATTATTATTATTATTATTATTATTATTATTTTGTTTGTGTTTCATCTCTGCTATTAAGAGTAAAGATTTTTCTGTTCATTTCTACTCTTGTCTGTGTGCCTTGTGCATGGGACGTGGCTAAGATCATCTTGCTGTGCAACAATTGTGACCTCATGTGGACAAGGACCTCACTGTCTTCTCCAAATGTCCCTTGTTGGCTCAGTAGAAAATGGCAGCTTATGGTCATGATGGCTCTCTTCCTCTTTTGGGACCTCTCAACATGTGTGTCTACACTGTGTGCGATAGAGCTGCCATTTGGGATGCTAGGGCTGCCATTTGTGATGTTGACAGTCGGATATGCTACCACAGGCATGGGCAAACTTCAGCCCTCCCTTCAGGTGTTTTGGACTTCAATTGGTGTTTTTGACGTCCAAAACACCTGAAGGGAGAGCTGAAGTTTGCCCATGCCTGTGCTAAACCAATGTGGTGATAAACATGTCAATGAACCTGGTGAAAGGATGGAATCCTGTTCGTAGCATTAAAAACATTGGACAGTGGGTTGTGTTTTTATGTTCACTTTGGACTTGAAAAGTGGGGAGTTAATGGACCTTATTATTTAACACATTTCACGAAATCTAAGGCGCTATTCAATCTAAGGTTGCACCCTATATTTGGAGCTTCCATTTTCCTCCAGCAATAAACTTTCATCTCACGTATGTTGACCCACAGCTCTATTGCGACATTCTCCGGTGTATTCAGATATTTTCCTTTTGAATGCAGTTTCGTAGTGTGCTTTTCCTGACATTTTGTGACACATAATACAAGATCGCATTGTAGGAAAGGCAGCTCAAGTAACTCAACTTTTCAAAGTTTCAAGTCAAATTTTGCTCTGTAATATGTACAAATTTATTTATTTATTTACATCACTTGTACCCCACCTTTCTTAACCCCCGAGGGGGGACTCGGAGCAAAGCACACCTTACTTAGCTCAAGGATGATGGTCTTCAGATGTGGTGTCTTGGTGGTGGGTCCATAGGTGGCTGTGGAGCCCTAGTCTTGATCCACATGTTCTCCTGCAGTGAGGACATTGGTTTCCAGATGGAAGGCAGTCCCGGTCAGGATTGGCTTGATGTGCTTTCTCCTTGGCACATTTCCCCTTTTTGTCCTCCATTCGTGCCTCTTTGAATTCTGCAGCACTGCTGGTCACAGCTGACTTCCAGTTAGAGTGCTCAAGGGCCAGGGCTTCCCAGTTCTCAGTGTCTATGCCACAGTTTTTGAGGTTGGCTTTAAGCTAATCTTTAAATCTCTTTTCCTGTCCTCCAACATTCTGTTTTCTGTTCTTGAGTTTGGAGTGGAGTAACTGGTGTGGGAGACGGTGATCAGGCATTTGGACAACATGGCCGATCCAGCGGAGTTGATGACAGAGGAACATTGCTTCAATGCTTGTGGTCTTTGCTTCTGTCACGTTGCCAGGACTCTGTCAATATTTAGGCAGAGATGAACCAAGCTCCCAGTTTGTGTTAAACAATTTAAAACAGCACTTACTTTCTGGCCATTTTAATAGTCCAAAACATAAAACATAAAGATTGCAGTCAGCCACAGAATATAAAACAAAACTGTCAGCAAAAACTGTTGCAGGTTCAAGATTACATCGTAGCCAAAAGGTCCAGTCCAGTGGTCAATCGCCAAGAGTTCAATGAGCAAAGTCCAGGGATCAAAAGTCTATACTGTAGTCAAAAGCCAGTCCAAAGATTCAAGGTTCCAGGTTTCCAAAGATTCAGGAGATAGATCAGGACGCCGAAAATCCACAAACCTGGGGGAAAACCAGCAGCATCAACCACCAAGATAAGACAAATACTTATATCCCGAAGATCAGTCCCAAGGCTAGCTCCTAATATCCAAAAGCACCCAGCTGCAACCCATCTCTTGCATACCTCCACCCTTAATTTCTTTCACACATGAACTCTTACTTACAGATTACTCAACCCTTTAGAACTAAGACTTACATTCACTGTTCCATCACCAACTGCTAGGCCTACCACCACCAACCACCAACTGCAGAACATGATACATGACAGCTTCTTCCAGCACACGGACATTTGTCCACCTGTCTTCCCAAAAGATTTGCAGGATTTTTCAGAGGCAACGAGTTGTGTGTGATGTCTGTAGACAGTCCATGTTTCACAGGAATATAGCGGAGTTGTGAGAGCAATGGCTTTATAAACAAGCACCTTGGTATCCCTATGGAGCAAAGCACACCACTTTGCTTCAAAATGCAATAGCAAGAACGGATTTCCCAGCAGAACTGCAACTGTTTGCCATCTGCCATTGTTTGTAAAGCCCTTATATGAAAATATCCTTGCAATAACCTTGTGAAGTAGGCCAGCATTACTAACCCCATTTTATGGATGGAAGACTGAAGCTGGGACAGTAGTGTCTTTCCTAAGGTTTGTCTCTGCTTATGGATAGAATGAGAATAATGTTATCTACCAGATTTGTAAATATTTACGCCCCAATTTATCAGCACAGATAATTAAAGCCACCCCTCCACATTTGCAATCTTAACTTTTGGAGATTTGATTGTTCACATATTTAATTTAAAATATTATTTCTAGGAATGTCTTGGTTCTCCAGGGCATTTCAAGCAGAACAAAAGAAAGTGGAAAATATAATAGTGCAAGTCTACCTTACACCAGTTTAACCCATCGGCCAAAGACTAACTGTGCTGTCACGTGCTGGGCCTGTGAAAAGGTCTGTAGACAGGACGTGCTCTGTATGCCCAACGGGACGCCGGGGATGCCTCGGATTAGAAGCCCTATAGATTTCCCTAAACAAAGTCTTTAGAGACTTGGAAAGTTTAACAAAGTTCTTTATTAGTGCTTAGGTCTTCAATAAATCAAACAAATACTTCAAGGCTTTGAATCAACTGGTGGCTTTCTTAATCTTGTCCACAAGGGACAGGCAACTATCTCCATGAACCGTTTCTTCTCTATCAGGGAAATCCTTGACCTCTACCTGGGCAATCTGTCTTAGGCTCTGCTGGCGTGGACCCCTACACCCGGTCCAAATTGCATTATGGCTGCCGTGAGTGGTCCTTACCAAACAGAGTCTTTTTGTAGATTGCCAAGAGGAAAGAAGGTCTTCGATTCCCAGCGAAGGCTGGCTATAAAGCTGTGGGACTGGATCCCCCCAGCAAAAGCTGTAAAAGACGAAGCTTTCTACATGTGGAACTGTACAAAAGGCTTCTCTATGTGAACTGAACTAGAGGTTCCCTTTTTCTCTCCTAACCCCAGAAAAAGGGGCAGAACTAAAGAACCTAATGATGATTGATGGGTCCTTGGCCCTATAATTGCAAACCAAGGGAAGCCACCTTATTGCAAAATGCATGGAACTTTGGAATACATGCAAACACTCAATAGAAAGGAAAAGCCGTACCAAAACACCAACAAATATTTTTTGCATCCCTAACACAATTCAGTAAATTTAATTCATATTCTGCTACTCCCATTTGGTCGTATCAATACAACAGGAGCAAAACAGAGGATACATATGCAACAGCTTTCTTGTTTTCTTTCTTTCTTTTTTTTGCAATGGACATTGTTGTTGTTTTTGTTGTTGTTGTTGTTGAGATCAGGGGTACCAGATTAAGGTAGCAAAGGAACATCTAGAGAGCTTGAGATGCTGGCTAGCTTCATGTGCCAAAATGGAGCCTTAGAATGGAGCATAATGCATTGCAAGCAAGATGAACAATAAAGCGGGGAGGAAAATTTGCAACCCTGGAGGTTTGGTCCCCGACGACCCCTAAATCACCAGGAATCGAGTAACACCTTGAAGACTAACACATTGATCGTGTGGCCATAAATCTTTAGACTGCCAGCACCATCCAGGTTTTTCTCATCCGGCACATTCTCTACAGAGCTCTACCCCCCCCCCCCCCCCCCCCCCCCCCCCCCGAATGGTGTGGAACAATAATACATTATCGAGAGATGGCTGCAATAAAGCAGTCTGGGATCAATTCATTTCCAAACGTAATTCAGTCGTTCCAGCAGGCCATTCATTTCCATTCATTTCAATTACACGGACGCTGTAACATTTCAAATTTGTGGCAAAC